CGATAGCAAACGCTGCACGTTTCTCGGGTCAATTATCGACAGTTTTAAAAGTGTCAGCTACAGGATGGTAAATTCAAGTTGATCGATAAGGAAGATTCGAAGGTCTGGAATCGCGAGTGTTTGCATTAAAAGAAAGTGAAATGGTATCGTGGAACTAGCCAGTCTTCTATGATTCTATAAGCAACAGGATTTAAATAAAGCTACGATAAAAAATACAGACAACGAATGCATCGCAAGTTGTAATTCGATTAATAAATTGTTTGGAAAGACTCGTCGACCATCTGTATTTTTTATGACAAATATCCGTCCACGTTCGAGAAGACACATTGTACAGAGTAATTAGTTTTCTACGATATATACGGACCAATTATTGTCAACGATTTCATTGGACACTCGCGACAACATTATAATTCATTTGGCCGGAATCGTATCGCTATCCATGCCAATATTTTGCAATTAACCTTGCCAGACCAGCCAACCGACAATGAATCGCATCCTACCGGAACGTTTCGCTATTGTTTCTATCGAACAACCATTCCTTCCTCTTCGAATAAGACGATATTTCTCAAGGAAAATTGGAACTTGCTACTAAACGATTCTCCGATGTAGTAGTAGTAGAAATAATACGTATGTGTAACGTACGGTGAATGTAGGAAGTATTCGCATAAACAACAGTCCATGAAACTCTGATTTCTCAAGCAATTTTTATAAAATAACGAGCTTCTATATTTTTGGACATCGCTACGACAGATATCGTACAACAAATTTCTGATAACACGTTTTTATTCCTATCCTTCGACTGTAATTTTCCATAAAGCTACAATTTGTTCGAAAACCATAAACTTTGTTATTAGATCGATAATTTATTTCTCTTGCACGCCGATTTTACCGACTTCTGACAAGAGACATATACACGTACGAACTCATCCTCTTATACAAATTGACCAAGGAACCATAATTTCACGAAATACCGTTTAACATCTATCGGTACACGAATACTTCCTGCATCCATTGCACACGAACGAAAAGAAGCGTGTAGCGAAGTGTGCATCGAAGCGTCTGCAAATGTGCGTTCGGAACGGGAACCGGAAACCTGACGCAGAGCGACGAGCACACGCACGAAACGCGGGGACAGGCGTTTTTGTTAGTGTGATGGCGATTTTTACTCTTCGTCCTGGGCACCCTGCGCGTCTCCATCAGCCTCGTGGCTTCTCTCCATCGGCCGTTGGTTCTCCTTGTCACACTTCTCCGATGCACTTTTCATTTCTTCCTCTCGACGAAGCTCCCCGCTTTTTTACCTCCCTTTAATCGGAAGAAAAGGCAAGAGAAGAGTCGTCGAGACGCGACACAACGATCGACGAAATAAAGCAGCCGATTTATTTAATGGACGAACGTTCAAAACGATATCGACCGTTGTATCATCAAAACACGACTTCACGAAGAAACTCAAACGAATTTTATTTTACTCGATGTTGTCAGTAAATAAATCTTCTGTTTCTTTATTTCCTTCTTGATACGAGTTAACGAAGGGGCGAATGATTTTTTAAAAAATAATAACACGCAGTCACATTTTATTCTCCAGACTCGAAGATGTCCGGTGGTTTGAATCAGGTATTGCAGAAAGGAACAAGGATTCCGGCCAATGTTTTCCGTGAAATTCGCGAAACGATCCACGCGCTTTGCCACTCCGAGGCGGTTTGACGTTTCGCGTTGCCAAAACTATGTTTAAAAGCATAGCACGCACGCACGAGGCAGCTCTATTTATAGTGACGACCGCTTTCCGAAAACCGCGCCCCTTTTCTCATATTTTCGATTTCACCCTCCTCGATCGCACCCCTCGATCATTAAGCGATGCATCATTGAACCTCGTGTCCTGAAGCGTGGAACAAAACACGTTTCTACACGGTCATCGCAGACAATTAAGCGAAGTTCCGGTAAATAATAACGTTTTATTGCTGATTCATTGCGACTCGATAGATTCACTTCACTTTTATACGCACGTTGCAATTCATAAAAATGCGAAGAATACAAAATTCGCTAAATTGTGTAATTCACTTTGTTGTGTAAATTGAAATGGAGAATATTTTCGGAATTTTTTCAAGGAGATCACAGCGAGCATTGTTTCGAAATCGGCGGATTTCAACGCGCACATAATATGTGGAAAGAGGGTTTGCAGATGACGCGACGATGAAAGATGGCAGGAACGAAATTTGCTTGCCAAAAGATGGATAATGTCTCCAAGCTTCCATCAGTGTTGTGCGAAGATCATCAGTTTATTAAGACGCGAGACAGTAAATTATGAGCAGCAGGTGACTTTGTACTTCGAGAAACAAAATATTTACGGCGCGAGTATATCCGAACGATACAAGAAAATTTTCAAACGCGATCGAAGATCCTTAAATAAATCGGTATAATACGCGTTAAAACGAAGTCACCGAAAATAATTATGAACAAGTTTCTCACAATTTCGTGGAGATATTTCCCGGCGGACACAGCGAAGATCTGGCGAATTTTCACTTCGGGCTAAAGTCTGTCGAAATCAAGTACATCTACCGTAAATTCTATCACTTAAAATCCAACGATGACAAAACAAATAGAAGACACGAAGAAGCACAAATACAGTTCGATGATTCGATAGACAATTCATTGACCTAACCTTTTACCCTCTCGAAACTAACCTTTACCTGTTAGAAACAAACCGTTAGAAACTTATTTTTCCCTTTTCACGATCTCGAATCTAATAAATCTACGACGACACAAAAAGATCGACGCGAAAATTCTCGACAAAATGCCACTGTTCGTCGTCGAGAGCAAAAATCCTTTGAAAAACAGTTGGTCAAGAGCAGCATCGTGCAACGACACCGTTGGGTTATTAATAGTATGTAATACCAGCGAACTCACGCTCGACGAGAAAACCGGGAAAAACCAAGGAAACGAAGGAAACAAAAGCGGAAAACCAGAAGAGGAGGCAGAAGATTGGAGGAAGAGTCGGCGAGGGTAATCTTTGTCGACGAGCAACACGCACGGTTTAACACGCAGCAAGGTGGTCGTTGGTCGAGAACACGGCTCGGTACTTTAACCTCGCACTACGAACACTATTCGAAGAACCACCGGCAACGAAGGGGTTGCCACCGATGATGGTGGTTGCCGAACGACCGTCACGGAAGCTGACGCGAAAGCAGGTGTATGCGGCACTTGTTGATAAACACGATAGCTCCCGCGGATTGATTAGTGCCCGTGCGAACTTCCACGAGCGCAGTCGACGCCTCACGAGCTTCTCTTCCTATCGATTTCCGAAAAGGCGCTTTCGTTCAAACTGGTCCATCAGCTGCTCCCTCGTGGTTCGCGCCGACATCTTTTTAATGCTCAAAATATTTCTATATATCCGTTCTTAGTAGTGTATTTTTATAGGATTTCGTTATCGGTTGAGTAATTTAGATGAAACGAGAATTTTCATAAAGTATTATTAAAGATGTCCGAGTTTTTATGTCGCTTTAGGTTCTTGTATTTATTACTTGCGTTCGTATTTATATTTATTCTTTTTAACGATTGCATCGAGGCTAATTTTTATTGTTGAATTTTATTGATGAATTGCGGAAATTTATAGAAATTCATATTTCTATAAGCACCGCTGAAAATATAAGATTTAGGAAGAGACTTTCATGACAAATATTTCGATATTTTATATACTTCCACAGATTATGTGCATTTTATATACTTTTGCGCCATTGAATTATTCATGAATGTATAAAAATCGACGGTTTGTCGCAGTATCGTTTGAATAACATATCAATCTGTCAAATTTCATTTCTGTTTACTTGACGTTGGCGCGATCAAAGCATTCGCAAAAATCGTTCTCAGCGATATATTAGCCATATCTTTATAATACGTGTTTTAATTACAAAGCGTGTCGTTTTTATTGCTACACGGAGTCGTCGCTTTAAGCTACTCGAATAAATAAATAAACGCTGTGTGACTGAAGGACGTCTATCGTGCGACAGATTGCATTTAACGATTTCGAATGAACGTAAATAATGTAACCTATCGAAGCATGACTTTTAGATGGACAATACGTACCTCGAAACGTCAGCGTAACATTTATCCTCATCGTGTTTACTCCCTTGATTGTCAATGCTGCACTTCTCGCTTCTGAGTCTCACCATCGGAAGTTGTCTTTTGCATTTTCGGCTAACCACTCTCGAGAGCCATCCTTCGGGAGCCATACTAGGACCGAGTCACGGTGAAGTTAAGCACTTCCGATTTCGCAAGTTCCGTCGAACGACCATGATTAAGCGATGATGAATCCCAACTCACTCCACGATTTTCCTAACGAAATTGTCACGCGTAATTAGGAAACGAGGTTACTTGCAAACTTTAACGAAAATGTCAAAAATTCTTTACGGCACGAATACCATGAAGTGCATCTCGAATTTCACGTCGACGTATAATTATCGCTTTCTCGCTTTAAATAACGTACCACGTTACGTACATGCTTTCTCAGAGACTTTGATTTTCATTAATTATATTTTTAATTATACCGTGATTGGTCGAATTTATGTATCGCGAGTATCGAGTTCGCGTATAACCTTGGGAAGAAATTCGATGCGATGATCGAAATCGAAGAAAGGAAACGGTGACGGACACGGGAACATTAGAAATGTAAATTCGGGTGTCAAAGTCGCCAGACCACACCCTTCATTCATATTCTAAACGGCAATTTGCCAACGTTAACCGGTTCATGTATGACTATCCTTCCACGATCTCGTCTTAGTCCTTCTAATCGAAACAGTAAATAAACCTCGAGTTATAATACATCCTGTGCTCGATGTATGCATGTACCATATAGAAACCTGTTACCAAACGTGATAAGTTTCAATAAATTCGCTATTTCCGTTTGTAGCTTTCAGGCATGTTATTCATAAGTTGGTATCTTAACCTCGATAAAACAACGTTGTCATAACTCTACCTACCCTAATGACAAACTCGTGAAACACACGCGAGATCATTTCGTGGAAAATGAGATTTTCTCAAGATTTGGTCAGATCTTGCATTGCCCTGAGTTATTTGGCGAGCTAACTAACAAAGATCGTTCATAGCGTCGTATTAATCGTCCGATCGTAGATCCTCAGGCAACGTCGAAAATATTTCGATCATTCTGGAGCGCTTACGTCGTCGAAAAAAAGAATCACGAGCAAGTATCCCGTTGATCGTGACGAAGGACCGAGGAGAAACGACAGAAGAGCTATGCGTAGGAGCAAAGGAAAAAAACAATCACGGATGATATTCGACAGGGTGGGGGAGTTTGCTCTCCATGAAGAATATATAAATCGCGGGTAGGGCTGAAATTCCGGTTAGTACAGATAGTTTCGCAAACCTATCGCGAAGCTGTGATCGCACTATGCAGGTGAGTCTATTTCTGATCGTTCGTTTAAATATCGTTTCTCCAACTTTCCAACTTGAGGCACGCCTACTTTGCTTTTCCAAGTTTCCATTATAAACAGTTTCTTGTAATTTGTATTTCGGTAAACGGGTACGACGACGAATAGAATATTTCGTTCGATATATTCTTATTCTTTCGTTCGTATCAAATAAATTTAAGACCAAAAGGGTTGGAAATGATAATAACACCAGTGACAGAGGAGATCCACTGTTTTTATGAATAATTCTCAAGACGCGACTAACCGTTACATCTGCGGAAAAAAATCAGTTTCCGCGTTGCCTGTGAATCAGAATCATTGATATGCGGGCCACGCGATGCTGCGCATCGAGCCAAAGCTCGTATTATCAAAAGCGTCGGACGAGCTGCTTCTTTATTCGACACAGGATTCGTACGATCAATCTGCAGCTAACTACCGCATTGTTTCTCGTGTCACACGATTCGATATATCACTCTATAAATAGAAGAAACAATCGTTCTTTTTGAATTCGTCAGAAATTTTTCTACCATCGTTTTTCAAGGTCTACGCCACGTTGCTTGCCTTCGCTGTAATCCTGGTCGTATCGATAGAGTCGAGACCAATCGGACTAAACTTGTACGTGAACGATCATCAAAACCCTTCTGAAGTCATCAGCGTATATCCGCAACTTCTGCAATACCAGAACTCTCCGTTTTACTATCAAAATGTAACGTGTCTCTTAAAACTTTCGTAAAATTTCACCATTTTTTCTTTATCTCTATAGATTCTTTTTTTATCGCTGCTTTGTTTCTATAGGTTCCCGTAGACGTGAATGGTATTCCAACCGCTGTCGTCGCCTATGGAAAGCCTTCGGTCTCCCATTTGCCTGCTTATAACATTTTTTATAGCACCTCTGTACATGACTTCCGATTTCCACTGAATCCGGTAAAAACTAAAATTATTTGACCGTTTGATATGTCAATTTCTGTAGAAAATCAATTTTTTCAACAATAACAGCTTCGTGCGTGCATCGGGTATTGAACAAGTATGATCCATTTGATTTTTCATAGGTGTATCCGCTGTTAAAACCTATTCAACCGGGAGAACCGCCTAAACCAAGCCCACCATCGACAACCACTATGAAACCAGAGGTTGAAAGCACCGAGGATGGCATCGAAAAATTGGACACGAAGGTTGAACCAGGAAAAGAAATGAAGAAATCGAACGAGAGCGGAGAAGACAACGACGATGACAGCATTACCATCGAGTCGATATAAACTGCCGTATATTGCGTATCACGCTTCATGCTAATTAAATAAAATATTTACACCTTTACCCGTTACTTCCTTGTACTTACACGTTCATTTAGAAATTTGATGATTCAAGTTTCTGAGCTACGTACAACGATCAAAAATTTGGTATCATTTTTCCAATTCTACTTACATCGAATCATCTGCCAACATTAATATGAAATTAACGCTACGAATATTAATAATAACATTCTTCGCTTTCATCAAACTTTGAGCCAACAAGCTACTAACGTAGCAGAATTCTTAGCTAGCTGCTCCTTAAATTCTTCGATTCTATGGAATAGTAATTTTGTAGTGATTTAATAGTAATTGAAATCTGCCGGCCGTGTTTAACAAAATACGTTCACGTTGAGAGCTGTAATTGTGTTGCACGATAGGATAAAAGCTAATGAACGTTTTGCATCACTGGCGCCACGATCATAGGGTAGTCTCGTCGCAAGATAATCAATTAGTCTGCTTTCATCGGTTTACGATAAATTTTATAAACATATTGTTATAATTAGATATTATTTTTGAGAAATTGAAACAATCGCGCGTCCAGCAACAGAAAGGTCTCTCACCCCACGAACGGTAGATAAACTGAGGTCAAAGATGCGAAACGCTCTTCGGATTCCTTCATTTGCTTCGTTGGTGCTAGGATCGTTCGCATCGATCGCGAATATGACTCCGAAAACTGTTTGGTTGGTCGGTGCTCTGACGTTGACGCTTTTTGTGATTATCGAGTCGTCTGCGTTCAAAGAGACGAAAATTACGGAAGGAGACTATCAGGGTTTAAAAACGTACGACGTTAAGGGAAAAGAAAAGAAATTAAAGCTGTGGAGATTCATGCTTATTAGTAGAAAGGACGCTGGTGAAGACCTCGAAACGAAGATTAAACCGATTTTCAAGAAATACAAGATCACTCGGCTGCGAGTGGAGCCCTTTGGCAAGGAACAGTCCATCGAGAATGGGGAACATCTTTTAATCGGAGATAAAAGTGACGAAACGCACAAGGACAGAGTAAAAAGAAACGCGACTGCGTTGAATGAGTTCAAAGGCGCGAAGAAAGGCCATAAAAAGTTGAAGCTGGCTCACGTTCAGGCTGGTTACAAGAATTGGAAGAACAAAGAACGCTCGAACGATTCGAACGACGATAAACCCGTGGACAAGACAAAGAAAATCAGTCGACGTTACGTGAATTATTTCCCGAATAATGAAACAAATATATCGAAACGTTACGCCCTGACTAAAGATTCGAAGAATGATAAATCGGAATATTACGCGCAAAGGAAAGCGGTTATGGACAGATTTCACGCTCGTCAAAGAGAAATAGCGGACAGGTACGCGAAGAGAACGTCCACGACTCCGAAGTATACGTATAAATACGATTTGGAGAAGAAAAACAACGTATTTTTGCCTTCATCCGTGAACATCAATAACGATGTTCCGATAAATAATATCAATAAAAGCGAACACGCAGTCGATAAGGCGAATAACAGTCTCCAGACCAGTACCTCCACTTCTTCTACGACACCGATTCGAGAACAAATCATAGAAACAACGACAACAGCCTATCGTATCAACCGATCAGATCAATTTCAAACTACGGAAAATTCGCTAGAACGGGATGCCGAAGAGGACTACGACGAAGACTCTGACTATCTGGAAGATAACAATGACTATCAGAAGTCTAGTGACTCGAAACCAGTAAGTTACGCAATGCATGTATTTATCAAAATTGTATATATTATGCTACAAAGATTTAACAGACTAAACTTAACGTGCTTAATATCCTATGCAAATAAACTATAAAAAAAAGAGAATAAAAAATGACGAGTAAAATGTCTATCGTATGGTAGAGCTCGATTTATCTGAACTCACAATGGAGGAACAAACAATTGGTACGATAGGGATTCACACATTTTTTCTTACTAATTTTCCTTGCCTATTACTTTTCGTTCTCTATGAAACAGAGTTGAGGTTCACACAAGCGAATTCGGTGGCCAGAAGCTTTAGTTAATCTGTCAACTAGATCGTTTCTTAATTGCAAATTTCTATGATCACGGAATATAATCACGGAAATTTGGATTTGCTTTTACCGAATACGAAACGACACCTGAACAGGTGAGATTTTGCTAGATAATGAAATTATCATGTCCAAAAAATTGACAGTCTCACTTAAACATTGATTAACATTTTGTTCCGATAAATGGGATTCAGGTAAACGGAGTTTTACCGTATTTCTAGAAATTCCTAATCGTACAATTAAAAAATGTGTTCAGGACGATGACAAAAGCGGCGCGAAATGGGGTAATTGTACTGGTAGTTTAGTATATCAGCATAACATAATCATCAGCGTACGCCAAGCGTTACAAGCTGTCGCGGATATAACTACGTCGGTGGATGGACATCTTTGCGTTACATGCATCAGAGTGGAATCATTGAATCGTAACAAGAGCGTCACGGTGAAACTGGAAGTGAATCGTAGAAAGGACGGCAGCATTATCAACGCGAAGCTCAAGTTCAGCGACTTCCATCTCGAGCAATTATCATATTCCGTGAGGATGTGGGCCGTCAACAAAATAGGAAACAGTTGCAGCTTCGTACCGTAATTTTATATTAAAACAAATGACCCTCGTACATCAAATTCATTGTTCCTTCTTAACCCTTTCGCTCCTGATATTGCATTAATATTCCATTAATTAAGCCTGTCAAAAGTCAAACTAATCAACCGCATTCTCTATTAATTTCTTCATTTTATTCCATTAATATTCGATTCTCAAGAACCAAATGGCTTCCTTTCGTAAGTTCATTCATTGCAAGAAGAGGGCACAGAGAATAACAAATTCCAAGATAAATTGAAAAAACAGAATTTATAACATCTGTACTTTGCAATTGATGAAGTTGTTCAGTTGTGGCTTCTGAACGGTTCGATTGACCAAACGACGAATGTATTTGTTCTCAGTAAAACTACTCTGTTTTGGCGTATACGTTCTTTTTTACAAAACCACCGAGAAAAAAATGTGTTTCTACGGTCAATAAATAATAAAGAAAGCTTTTCTCGCGAGTAAACAAAATTCGGTTCCAAAGTGTTCAACGTCATTCATCGTCCGTAAAATACATCGTTTCCTCCAAACACTATGAAATAATCAGTCTGACCATGACGGCGAATAAACGTAACTGGAAGAATCTTGTCGGATGGGTTCCACTTCAGGAACTTTTGGGCACAGCTGTCGGAAGGGGTGGCGGTGGTACATCTGGTATTTTCTCTTTCTGTTCCTTTGCAGCGAGCTTCTTCTCCTCGTGGTAAGCTGGAAGCAGATGTTCGGAGAACCCGTTCTTCGGTGTGGTTGCTGGAATAGGTTCTAAAGTGCCATAGGGTTGATAGTCGACGTAGTAGGTCCCTGGGACCAGGTGAGGGTTGAATCCACTGTACGTGTAAAAATAGGGATCGTAGTATAACGATTGATAATTGGGATAGAAGCTTAGAGGTTCTTGTTCCCCGTTCTTGCTCTTAGGTTCTGACTTTAAACCTTTATTCTCTTCTGCACTTGGATTCGTTGCTTCTATTTTATCCTTCGCGTCAGTTGGTTTCGATTGTTCGACGGTAGCGGTGGGTTCGGCTTGCACGTCAGGCTGATTGTACGATTTTAGAGGATTTTGAGGAAGATGAACGACTTCTGGTCCAGCAAGATGAGGCGCTACTTGCGTGTAATAAACCGGTGGCACGTATCCAACCGCTGTTCGATGGATTATCGGTTGAATCACTGGATACGCTCTGGACGGGGACAAATTTTGATTACTCGTAATCACGGCGTTATACACTTTAGGAACCCGAAGGAGTCCCGGACTTCCTGATGCCACTGTTATCAACGCGAAGACGACCAACAAATTCATCTGAAAATTATTAAATAGAATTAAAAGAATGGGAATTAACGTTTAGTGCGATACAACGTGTCAAAAGTGACGGTATAATCGAAAGAAATACCAAGTCCCGTAAGCTATCGTGTCACGGAGAGAATGATATAGTTCAAAGTCCCTGTTCGAGCACAACGTCGATAAATCTAGTGCAAGCACGCGTGTATACGTACAGTAAAACGACCCCAAAGTGACGTACGTGATAGTTGCAATTATCAACCGCGTTGCGTTGATGCAAGAACAAAGCTATGCGAGAATGTCAGAATGTTATGAGGTGTTGTATTAATTCCCTCGCGATATAATACCACGCTATTCGAATCTATCCTGTTTATATACACATGCAGTCTAATAGTTTTACGAGTATAAAAGGATATAATATATAAAAAAAAAGATTGTAATTTATAGATCGTAGTTACGAAGAACTAGTTTTGTAAGTGAAAAGATACACGAACTTTTTAAAATTTATCCAAATTTCTAGAAAGCAAGACTGACGATTTAACCGCGTGTCAACCAGCTGTCCATTGTTTCTCGAGAAATAACAGACATCCATGGATAAGAATCTCGCGTGTGCTTGCTCGAACGATCGCATACAAAAGAGGCGAGCTACACGTGCACGAAATAAAATCTCGACTGTTTTCTTTGTAGGTGTGTGCTAACAGTCGAGTTGTCGCACCTAGCAAAATTCTTGCGTTCCGTGAAGTTCAGATAATCGAGAGAAAAATAGATTTCAACAAGGAAAGCGGTTGACTACGAGAAATTAAAATTAAATCATCCATTAATTTAGTAACTTTTACAATTGCGGTAATTGTATGAAAAATGTCTTTGTAAATTCAATCGGAATTATTGACAGAAGGAAAATGCATAGAACGTCGATGCCACATTGTAGACACGCGCTTCGCTACAATGATTCATCTCATTAACATACGCGAATTTCTGCGAATTTCTTCCTTCCCCGACGCGTTCTTTCGTTCTTCGTCATAAAACGCGACTTTGAAGAGTCATAAAGAGGAAGAATGGTGACATTTTTGTCATATAAATTCGAGCGTAACCAAAGATCAGTTGTCGATAATAAAATGAACGACGCTTACCTTTTACTCGATCCGTCTCCCTCTTGGTATACCTTCCCTACAGAGCAGCAAGGATCGTCGAGAAGCTGACACTAAGTAGCAAGAGAACTGCATGGAACCGTAGTATATATGGCCCATGGGGTCTCACAATCAGGGTTCAAGTCCTACCTCCCCCACTACATACCACTTAGCGAAAGTACTCCGCGATCGGTACTGTAATGTTCAACATCAGGCCCGTCTACATCAACCAGCGAACTGCAGAAGGACAAGCATTTACCATGCACAGGACCGCGATGCATGGTGCACGATTGATGGACGAACTGTGAACGAGGACGTGCATCGAACACGAAGCGTTTAAAGATGCTCGAAACGGGGAATATATATGTTCGAGAGATAAAACATTTGAATATTTAAATATTTGAAAGTTTGAGAATTAGAAAATTTGTAAATTTGTATGTTTGAATATTTAAAAATTGGAATGTTTGAATATGTGAAAATTTAAATACTCGAATATTTGAAAGTTCGAGAATTTGAATATCTAAATGTTTAAAAGTTTTTGAATTTGAACATTTAAGTTTGGAAGCTTGAAAATTTGAAAGTTTGAAAGTTCGAATATTTGGAGATTTTGTAATTTTCAAATTCGAAGAATTGGAAGAATATTGCGCTTGAAACATTCTTCAGAGGTTTGGAAGCTTGAAAATTTGGAAGCTTGAAAATTTGAAAGCTTGAAAATTTGGAAGTTTGAAAGTTCGAATATTTGGAGATTTTGTAATTTTCGAATTCGGAGAATTGGAAGAATATTGAACTTGAAACATTCTTCAGAGGTTTGGAAGCTTGAAAATTTGAAAGCTTGAAAATTTGGAAGTTTGAAA